ATGGTATATATTCAAGATGTGATGCACTACCTAAAGAAAATATGTAACAATATAGAATCAAGTAAGTTACGACACAAGACAGAGGCTGGAAGATATTTGCTCCTTGAAAAAAAATGTATTGTTTGGGAACATTGGGAAGAGAGCTTCAATTTCAACTTTCAAGGTGGGTTTTCCATTCATAGGAAGCTTACAGAGGAACACATCAACCTTACACCAGCAGCAAAGATGAGAAATGAACTTGCTATACAGGTTCTCTATAAGGACATGCTGTTCTTGATGAAATCGTACCAGTCCACCCTAAAAAATCCAGAAAACCTTGCAGCAAGCATCACACTTCTTGAACATACATCACAGATAGTCGACATATTCTGCACAATCAGGCAGCCAATTACTTCTTTGGATGACAAGAAATTTGAGTCTATTAAAAACACTCTATCTTTCTTCAATTAATGGGAAGTGGAAAAATCTGTGATGCACGTGACTTCGAAGAATCTAATGACACAAGAAACGAGAAATGACTTAAATTCCTCCTTAATGGGATTTGTTTCCTTGTGTAAATTAAGGTTGAATGGGAAAAACAGCATTAATCCCGGCTACCTAAATTCAGACATAGTGGAAAACTTATTTGGTCAACAGAGAGGTATTAGAAATGGTTTGAATACAAATCCTACACTCGCGCAATATGGTCCATCGAACACTGCGATAATTCTTTGACAACTTCAAAAAATGTTTGTTTTCCCTCTGGTAAGTGACAAACAAAAAAAAAAACTACCACACTCAAATGTTTTTATCAGATTTCTGAGCATTTTTTTTTTAAAATTTACAAAAAAGTTGTTTGCTGAACCATTTTGCATAAAAGTTTTAAAATATACTTTTCACAAACAGTTTTGAAAAAATAAACAACCAAAAAAAAAATAAAAAAAAGAAAAAAAAAAGGTTTAACAAAACCTATCAAGTACAATATTAGTGGTTTGACTTTTCGCGGGAAAATGTCGACAGTAACTTAAAATAAACAACCCTATATATATTCAAAGAATTGTGTGTAATTACTGAATTACCTCAATAAGTAGGTTTTTCCACATTGGCCCGTTATTATAAAACTATGCCCTTCTAATGCTTTATGGTAAGCTTTTTCTCGAAGATCTTGCATTTCCATGCTGCTTTGGATGTTTTCAGCTATCTTTTCGGAATATTTTGACCTTTTTCATTTCACTAATATGTGTTCCCAATAGTTCGATCTGCAGTGAATGTGACGTCACGCAGAATTGTCAGTGGCCGCTGGTTGTTAACTAAATGTGAAGAAGTGTGATTAAAATGATAGTGTAGGGTAGTTAAATGGTAAAAAATGTCAGCAATTAATTAATGGACACTACAGAGTTGAAATCTGGTGTTTGATGTTGGTTGGATAGCGAATTAGAGAAAATTGAGAAAACTCGTTGCCATCCTGTTGCTTTGCTCGTTACGCTCGCGAAGCTCACTGGTAGGATTTATGCCTGTTTATCATTTATTTTCAATTTATTGATAAAATTGTAAACTCCTGTGATAGAACATTCTTTCGTTTAAATGATATTGTCCTACGGACCCAGTTTAATGATAGGATTCATTCGGTGTATTGGCAATTTAGCAAAATAAACACCGGCGATAAATCGAACTTGGTACATTTACTACGAAAAATCTAGAGAGTTCCGAATGTCAACGTCGTGTAAATTTGAAGCGAGAAAAAACGTTGAAAAAAATGAGTTGAATTTTGATCTTTATATGGATTACGTTTTAGGATAAAAGGCATATACAATCTCAAAAAGGTTTGTTTTGATTAATTTGGAAATTCTTTTCAGCACAACCCTTTAGTATTCTTCAAAATCATTTGGAGCGGATCCCCTCTGATTTGCTACATTGCAACTTTATGGGACATGTTCTAACTGTGGTGAGAGCTTGTCCTGAGACACAGTAAGATTATTCTAACTAGTGATAAAATACACTAAATAGAAGTTGTCTCACTCCCCATGCATGGAGATTAAAGGGTTTTTATCACATCTCAAAATTTTTTGATATGACAAAGTTTACATGTTATTAAAATCATACATTTAAAAATTTTTGCTAAAAAATTAATATTTTTGATGTTTCAGCGATTCAAAGTTTGAATTTCTCAATATGCATATTTTGATCGCCGATGTTACGCGCCATTGCTCTGACGTCATAGGTGTCAATCCTGGTCAAGCGAAGTACTAATTGTGTATACAAAAGGGCTCATTTGTTGTGTCTATTAAACCTGTTAGAAAATAATTAAGTGATAATTGGATAATTGACAGCTAGTAAGCTATAATCTATGGCTTTAGGATGCACAAATGTGCACAAGAAAGGTTTTAGGAAATTGTTTTTTCCACATTTCCTGGACTTGGTCGAGAGATGAAAGGGGGGACTTTCTCTGCATATGCGATGGTGTTTATCTCCATTCAGAACAATCGTTAATGCCCGATCGATCACGATTTTTTTCTGTCCTATAAAATATTTTAAGGAAACAAACCTTTAAAGAAAATAATAAATGACAAACACGCATTTTTAAAAAGTCGCACAGAATCTAGTAGGAATGTTGTGAACTTCGTAATGGCGTACGGCGCCATTGAAGAAGTGTCATTTCTAATACATGATATTCACTGCTAGAACAGGTAGAAGATATACAGGATTTATTTATATATAATTAATTAAAATAATAATAAAGGAGAATTTAAAATTCCCATATTTATAAATGTTTACGAAGTTAAACATTAGTAATTCGTTCTATTTAATTGAAGCAGAGGCAACTGGTCGAAGTCCCGAGTTGTCAACGGCTTCGTCTTCGGAGACCTCTCTCCAATTGTTGGCATATTTTCTAGTTATTTCTCTTTGCTAGACGTTCATACATAAAAGATTGACCGTCCATAACCAAAGGAATATAGTCGATGTCAAAATTTTAACCGGCCATATTGTGTATTCCATTTATTTAGCGTAAAAATCTATTCAATATATTTTTTCTTACAGTAAGCTTTACGAGATCTATTGACCATTGACACCTATGACGTTTCAGTACCACGTGACCCCTATCTAATTAGTGGAGATTTTTACTTTGAGGACCCTATATTACGGGCGTTTTATCGTCTAATTACGACCGTTTTTGACATTATTTCATAATTAAACGATTATTATATGTTTCAAGAATATAATAGTGTTTCATTTTTAAGAAATTTAGATACATGATAAAAACCCTTTAAGATTCCAAACTTAACAAGACAAGAGGCCCATGGGACACATCACTCAACTGAGCACTTTAGCTAGGAAAATGCAGAAATCAGTTCAGTATTGAAAATTTTAAATATTAAAGTGGTTGGGGGGGGGGGGGGGGGCTGTATGATTTGAACAAACATGACTCGTAATATCTTTGCTGTTCTTAAGAAGAAATTTTTATTGATTAATCTTTAACATTCCTTCGTATAACTATGATCCCCTGTTATGGCTCCTCTATACTCCTGTGGGATCATGATTTGATCAAATTTGAATTTACATTACTTGCAGAGGATGCTTTTATTTTATTATGACCAATCACAGTTTTGCTGTTCTTGAGAATAAGATTTTTAGGTCACCTGAGTCACTCGGGTGACCTATTGCTATCTGTTTTCATCCGTTGTCATTCGTCGTCAATCGGTCGTAAACTTTTGAACATTTTTAGCTTGTTCTCTGGAACCACTGAACCAATTTCAACCAAATTTTGCATATAGCATCTATGGGTGAAGGGGAGTTAAAATTGTGAAATTCATGGCCCCTGCCCCCCTGGGGCCTGAGGGGTGGGGCTAAAACCATCAAAATTAATGCAATCTTTAAAAATCTGCTTCTTTACTACTGGACATCAAGCAGTCAAACTGTTGGCATGATGTAATAAGCATTGAGCTCTCTACCAAAATTGTGAAATTCATGGCCCCAGGGTCAGGGGTTCTGGTGCTAGGGTGGGGCTCTAATAATTATTTAGGCATTTAAAAAATATTTCAGGTACTAATTGGCTTAGAATCATCAAATTTTGTCAGTTGATGCATTTTGGATCATTGGTGAACTTCAACTGAAAAGTTGGTCACTGAGACCTACTTTTGAAATTTTATGGCTATATTTAAATATTTCTGGTTCTTACTGTCTTAGAATCATCAAATCAGTTGTTGCAACTGGGTCCTCAGAAAACGTCATCTGAAAAGTAGGTCAACATGACCTACTTTGATATTTTATGGCTATATTTAAATATTTCTGGTACTTATTGTCTTAGAATCATCAAACTTTGTCGGTTGATGCATCTTCTGTCATTGGAGAACATCAGCTTAAAAGTAGGTCATTGTGACCTACTTTTGAAATTTTATGGCTAGATATATAATATTTCAGGTACTAATTGACTTACAATCATCAAACTTTGTCATATTTTATGTATTGTGTCCTCAGAGTATGTTAACTGAAAAGAAGGTCACTGTGACCTACTTATGGAATTTTGCGTTGATATTTTATTGTTTTGAGATACTTATTGTCTTAGAATCATCAAACTTTGTCAGTTGATGCATCTTGGGTCCGCAGAGTGTGTCAACTGAAAAGTACGCCACTATGACATTGTTTTGAATTTTTACAACTATATTTAAATATTTGAGGTAATAATTGGCTTTGAATCATCAATCATGTCTGTTGATGTATTTTGAATCCTCAGAATATGTCAAATAGAAAATAGGTCATAGTGACCTACTTTTGGAATTTCCAGGCAATATCTAAATATTTTAAAATATAAGCAGATTTAAATTCATTAAACTTTGTCAGTTGATGCATTTTGGGGTCTTGGAGTGTCTTTTCCAAGAAGTAGGTCACTTTGACTTACTTTTAGAATCTCAAGGCTCTAGCTCAATATTTAAGTTAGTAAGGGGCTTAGAATCATCAAACTTTGTTAGTTGATGCATCTTGAGTTCTCAGAGTGTTTTAACCAAAATGTAGGTCATTATGACCTATTTTTTATACGCCCGTCTTAAGACAGGACGTATTATGTTATAGCCTTCATGTCCTTCCGTCCGTCTGTTAGCTTTTTCGTGTCTGGCTCATAACTTTAATACTATTAGGCCTAGGATTATCAAACTTTGTCAGCTGATACGTCTTGGGTAGAAGGTGTGTCGCACTTTAAAAGTAGGTTGCTCTGACCTTTAATTAAGATGCTATGGACAAATATGGAAGAATCCTGTCCGGCTCATAACTAGAAAACTATTAGACTTGGAATCATCAAACTTGGCCAATTTATGCATCTTAGGTAGAAGGTGTGTCGCGACCTATTTCAAGGTCACTGTGACCTTTAGTTTAGTGAATTTTTTTTTAAAAACTGTGTCTTCTATACTATTAAATTGCACAATCCCCAAAAATGTAAGAATGTTGCAGTATCCTTATTAAAATAATGTTAAATCAAGGAAATAATTTTTTTCATTGTATACTTTACAGCAATCTATAACAAATGTAATGTTACAAGAGCAATTCCACCTCTCCCATGGATGTAATCATCAAGCACTGGTCAATGAGAATTTTGATAACAGAAAATTACATGTCAGATTAGAGAGAAATTAATGAGTTTTAGTGTGAGGGGCTAACTGGTAGAGCATCTCTGATCAAGCAGGTGTTATCTATATCTCCTGGGAATTAGGGAAAGGAATCAGCGTTGGATTAAATGAGTCTAGTTGGCTAGCCTTTTAACTTTTAAAATGAATTTGGTGAAAAGTAAACTAACTTAAAATTGATATTGTACAATAAACTAATTTGATACTGTATAATATAATTAAAACTGATTATATCGGGGGGAATATTGGAATCAGCATGTGTTGGTTTGTCAGTATGAACTGCAGCTTAAAACCAGTCTGACATTAACTCTAAAAAAAATCAAGTATTTTTTTTTAAAAATATTTTATGGTAGATAGTGCCTACAAATCTAAGAGTCATGCAGTAAAAATATTGCATCAAGATTACGAGTTTTTGTTTCTTTTTATAAATCTTTGTAACAAGTTAAAGAAATCTGTTTTCAACGGAATGACATAAATATGCATATTTATTGCAATACAGACTATTAAAGCAGATAGTGCAGATCCATTCATCCCTTGGGAGTAATGAATGGACATGCATCCAGTTAAAGATTATAATTAATTGAGTTCAATGTATAGGAAGGCTAGCTGTCTCAATCATTTCTGTTGGAGCATCTCTGATCAAGCAGCTCTTATCTGTATCCTTTGGGAATAAGACAGAAAATCTGCTTGTCATTTTATAGCATATGTCATTTGATGGCCAGCCTTTTATTTTCAAAATTAATGTGGTATAGATTAAATTGTTAAGACTATTTTGAAATTGTTTAATATGATATTTTTATTTAATTTTTTGAAAATATCAAATAAATATGAAAGATGGGGGGGAGAGGAAGAGGGCTGCACTGCAGATGGGCATTTGTCAAGGTCTAACACAACCAGTTGAGAAATTTATTATGATTAATGCCTGCACAACAGGAAATGTATAAACATCAAATATATTATAAGGAATGGAAAAATCATGGAAATCTTTGAATTAAGGTTGACATTATTTTCTTGCACCCTAAACTGTCTATGATAATTGAACAATATTTGACGGGTGTATCATGCTGTGGCAGGGCACTTTATTTAATTTCAGGTGTTATCTTAATACACAGGATACTTTGAGGCTTTAAATAGAAGCGATAGGTTTTACAATCTATCAGAAGAGAGATTCAAGGCCCTTGGGCCACTTGTCTGTTCATTTATTGGATTGGACCATCGTTTGCTCTAAGCACCGCTGTTCGCAACAACAACAACATCCATATAAGGTAGATTCCTCAACCTGTTACATGTACTTATATAATGGTCACAAAATTTCATCCATGTATAAAGGTTTAGAATAAACAACATGAATTATTTTAATCGGGTCTAGAATTACGCTTACCTTTCCTGTTGCAGGGGGCAAGTGAAATGTCATCTCGGAAAAGATAGTTAATTTTCATGATAAACTTATCCGAATGGAAATGGAAAATAATACATTTCAGGCTGAGCCAACAAAACTTTTCGTGTATATTTAAATAATAACAATAAACATCCAACTATCAGAATCTGCACAAAGCTGCTACATTTCTATATAAATTACATTTATTTAATCTCAGAGACTCGTCATTGGTAGTACAGTTTGGCTTGGCCAAGATCAGAAGCCCATGTTGGCCGCAGATTGAAATAGTGTTGAATAATCGGAGAAAAATCATAATCGATAATCGGTTGTAATCGGAAACGCATAATCGATTGGTAATTGGCTATAATCAAGTTTTTTACCCTTTGAAATAAAATAAGATATTCCTGAACATGTTAAAGGATAATCACAAAAACAATATTCATATCCTTCTTCTATTCAAAGTTTAATAAGTAAATAAAGTCAGTAATATATATAAATAAACAAAATAATATTTTCCTTAAATTTTTTAAAATGACAAAATATTCTAATTCTTTATTTTCTCTCGGTAAAATTGAAAATTGAAAATAAGAGTTCAATTTCTGTATGATGCTTCATTAAAAAAATAAATACATGTATACAATTGGGAACATTACTGATATTAGTCACACCTTTTATTATTTATTTTCTTGGAATAGCTGTCTGATTTCATTTGGACTTATACTGATGTAAGCTTTTCAACTGCTTCAACATTTTGACCTCAACGTTTCCTTTGACCTTGACCTCTCTTTTCTTAAATAAGTGTTAAGCTAAGTTTTAAATAAATCATTCAAGATATTTTTATCGAACCTAATATACTGATATGTATTAGTGAGAGCTATTCAACTGGATCAAAAACTTTCCTTCTACTTTCCTGTGACCTTGACCTCCCTTCTCTTTAATTTGTATTTTGCTTAGTTTTAAAGAAACAATTTAAGATATTTTTATGTAAGCATGCACTTATACATAATTTGGTGAGAATTTATCATCTATATCCATTTTTTGTTATATTTTAGTTTCAATTTTTAAGAAACTGTTCAAGATATTCTCATCAAACTTCATACACTCATACAAATTTTCATGTTGCATTAGGAATATATGTTCGACGGGGCATACATGTCCTATGAACATATTTCTAGTTTTCAAATCATGACCTCCAAGGGTAGGGTCAGGCCACAATAAGAGATCAAAGTTTTATATAGGAATAAAAGGAAAAAAAAAATCTTCAAAATTCTTCTTTTCAAAAACAACAAGAGCATGATTAATATGGAAACATTCTCAAGAAGTGTAGATTCAAGTTTGTACAAATCATGACCCCATGGGCTAGGGAGTGGCCATTTTTTTCCTGCCCTTTAATTTGCCATCCACATGGAAATGCAAATTTTGAAACCATTTTACACATCCACAGGACAAAACCAATCATCTTCCAAATGATCATGATTTAAGGCTAATGCATAAAATATAAGGGAAGTTCTGGGAACCAGGGTGTTTAAACAAGTTAAATATTTTTTTTAAAAAATTGACCCCATTTGACCTCCAGGGTGAAAATAAAAATCTGAAACCTTAATTCACATCTACAGGACACCACCAACCATCTCCCAAAAGATGATTAGGCTACTGTGTAAAATGTAAGAGGAGTTCTGGGAACCAGGGGCTTTTTGGATAAGAAAGGTCATTTTTCGACCCCCAGGGTGAAAATAAAAATTCCGAAACCATACTGCACATCTACATGACACCACCAACCATCTTCCAAAAGATGATTAGGCTACTGTGTAAAATGTAAGAGGATTTCAGGGAACCAGGGGCTTTTTGCATAAAAAAGTCATTTTTCGACCCCCATTTGACCCCCAGGGTGAAAATAAAAATTCCAAAATCTTACTGCACATCTACATGAGACCACCAACCATCTCCCAAAAGATGATTAGGATTCTATGTAAAATGTAAGAGGAGTTTGAGAAAGAAGAGTTTGACAGCTCTTTTTTGTTTGAAACATATCCATATTTTTCAGATATTAATAATAATTTACACAAAAATGTTTTATTCCTTTATAAACCATAGGGTATGGTGTATATGAAAAGAGCATAGCCTTTTTTGTAGGCTGTTTAGTTTTTGTATTTTTTAAAAGCTGAAAATCCTCAAAAAAAAAAAAAAAAAAAAAAAAAAAAATATTTTCATGTTTTTGTTTATTTGGATTATCTCCCTTTTTCAGTTTAAAATTAGAAAGTTTTACTGGACATGGAAATATGTTGATTAATTTTGAAAAGTTACTTGTGTTGTTGTATTTTGAATTGAAAATAAAAAGAAATTGTTTTGAAATGTCATATTCATTTCACTTGTCATATTCATTTCACCTTATTCGTCTATGGCTACGGCATATACTGGATTATGACAAAATAGTGAAATTGCCCTTTTTGTATAAAGCCATTCATTATTTTTGGATATTAATAATAATTTGCACAAAAATATTTTCATACTTTTATCAGCCGCAAGGTATCATGTCTATGAAAAAAGCACAGTCTTTTGATTTGGCTGTTCGGTTTTTATATTTTTTAATTTCTCAAAATCCCCCCAAAATTGATATTTTCAAGTTTTTGCACATTTGGATTATCTCCCTTTTAAAACATCTTATTGGACATAAAAATATTTTAATTAATTGTGACAAGTAACTAGTTGAGTTGTATTTGAATGAGCAATAAACATAACTGTGATTTCTTTTCTGATTTTCATTTTATTTAAACTTGAATATTGGCAATTTTGCAAATTTATGGAGGGAATTTCAGCCATAATATGCTGAAAACTGTTTCTGTTGCCATGGAAACCAGACACTGATTTGATAAAAACAAGGTATGTTTGTGAAACACTGATGCCCCCATAAAGCAGCTTATGGTGATGGTTAAAGTTTCTTAAATGCAAGTCAAACTCCAGGTCAAGAGATCAAAAAATGTTGGTACCCAAAGAAAGGTCTTGTCTCTAGGAATATACCTGTAAAATTTGAAAGCCCTAGCTCTAACTGTTCAAAATTTATGGCGAAGGTTAAAGATTTTCAAAAGTAAGTAAAACTTCAAGGTCAAGGTCAAATAGGGCCCCAAGGAAAGGTCTTGTCACAAGTGATACACATATTTGTGAAATGTGAAAGCCCTAGAACCAAACGTTCACTTGTTATGGCCAAGGTTACAGTTTTTTAAAGTAGGTCAAACTCCAGGGTCAAGGTCAATGCCAAAATTGTTGGTATCCAAAGGAAAGTCTTGTCCCAAGGAATGCACATGTGAAGTATGAAAGCCATAACACCAAATGTTAAAAAGGTATGTCAAAGATTAAAGTTTTTCAAAAGTAGATCAAACTCCTAGGTCAAGGTCAAAGGGTGGAAGTGGTTGGTATCCAAAGGAAGGTCTTGTCACAAGGATTACATATGTGAAGTATGTAAGCACTAGCACCAACTGTTCAAAAGTTATGGCCAAGGTTGAAGTTTTTCAAAAGTAGATCAAACTCCTAGGTCAAGGTCAAAGGGTCAAAGTAGTTGGTATCCAATGGAAGGTCTTGTCACAAGGATTACATATGCAAAGTATGAAAGCCTTAGCCCAACCGTTCAAAAGTTATGGCCAAGGTTAAAGTTTCCAAAAGTAGGTTAAACTCCTATGTCAAGGTCAAAGGGTCAAAGTGGTTGGTATCCAAAGGAAGGTCTTGTCACAAGGAATAGACGCTAAATGTGAAAGTCCTAGAACTAACCGTTCAAAAGTTATGGCCAAGGTTCAAGTTTTTCAAAAGTAGGTCAAACTCCAAGGTCAAAAGGTCAAAGTTGCTGGTATCCAAATGAAGGTCTTGTCACAAGGAATACACATGTGAAGTTTGAAATCAAAAGCACAAACTGTTCAAAAGTTATGGCCAAAGTTGAAGTCTCATAAAATTTTGCAAAAGTTGGTCAAACTCCAAGGTCAAGGTCAAAAGGTCTAATATGATGGTACCCAAAGAAAGGTCTTGTCACAAGGAATACTTGTGAAATATGAAAGTCATAGCTCCATCCAATCAAAAGTTATTGGCAAGGTTAAAGTTTTTGCGGAGAGACAGACAGACAGACGGACGGACAGGGCAAAAACTATATACCCTGGAATCTTCGATACAGGGGCATAAAAATATTTTAGGAAGTTACTAAGCATACTTTAACAGCATGCAAAGTTTTTAAAAAAATTGGAAACCCCTCATGTACCACCCTCTGCCCGATTCTTATGTGGAATAGTACTTAAATTTTGTAATTGATAGGTCAAATTGAATAAAGAATAGTTAGAATTTTTAATGTTTAATACAAAAAGTACTTTCATAGTTTTTTATGGTCAGATAGTCTTGTAAGTAATGGGTATATAAAATGAGATATTTAGTGATTTTTCCTTAAAAATCGATATGTATTTTTAGCGAGAAGTAATTTTAGCGATTTTATGTTGCCAACTACAGAAGCTATTACAATCGATACGCAATTAAATTTTAGTGATTTTCAATTTTAGCGATTTCAACACCCTGGCTAATAATGCCAAAATTAAATCCTCACTAAAAATTCTGCTTATGCGGTATATTCTTCTAAAACCATGAGGCTAATGTGTGATGGATTGTGTAGGGTTTACTACATGTTCTCAAGCACTATTGAATTGTTTAGTCTGCATGATGATAGTGACAAAAGGGAGTGTATAAGTACTGGCAAGTAAATCTACTATAAGATTTATTACCGAGTGCTAAACTAACTATTTTGTTGATTCCTGATTATCCTATTTCTCTTGCCATGGGGCAACATATTTTCATTTCTCAGTTTAGTTTGTTTTGTTTCATGCTTCAGTGGATCTTTTACAGTGTTGCACTATACTCAGGTTACTGGTAAGGCCTTCGGATGTCTTGTTCATGTTTGTCAAAAAATAGTCAAAATAAAGATACATAGAGAATACAACATGTAAAAGTGGTTTTGAAATTAAAGAAATGAACAAGTTAAATCCAAGTGTTGATGTATTTTATTATTCTCTGTTGATGACCTTTAACATACTGTAAATCACTTTTATTCATGATTACTTTATTTTCACGTAATTGAGCAAGACCTTCCAAAATTTGTGAAAATTTTGTTTTGGTTTATAAAAAGCAAACAACAATCTCACGAAAATAAGGTGTAGCCAAATTCTAGTGATCAACAGCACCATTTACAAATTTTCATCTAGGGTTTTCATTTGGGGCTTTGTCCCAAGATCTTCATCAGCAGCTTGGCCCATGTACTCCTGAAGGGGGACTGAAGGCAACCCTCTGCACCCCTATATTTTCAAGCAAATGTAAAATCATTACTGCACTTCTCAAGTCTGTAGTTAAATATAGTTTTTTTTTCTTTTGTTTCAGTTAGTTGCTTTCATCTTGATTGGAGTTGCAGCTTATGCTAGAGTTGTTGCTGTTGTAACCAGCCTCGCCTTGGTAGGAGGTGTTATTGCCTGTGGTGTTTTCCTTTTTCTGACAGCCTTAATAGGAGTAATTGGAGCATGTAAACACCACCAAGTCCTGTTATTCTTTGTATCCTTTGAAATGTCAGTGATTGCATGCTTTTGAATTTGATGCACTAATATAAAATGCATTTTTCTGATCAACAATTTGCCTTTGTGTTTACATCTTCTGTTATCTGTCATCTGTTGTCAATCATCTGCATTCAACGTCTCTAGAACCTTACAATTTCGGTCGAACTTGCAACAAGTCATCCTTGGGTCAACTGTTGGAAGTCCTTAATGGTGAATTAGTGTGTTATATCTTTTCACCTATAAATACAATTAATTTGGTAAAGATATAGAGCAAAAGTTGTGCTGATCCCCAAACGATTTTTTTTTAACAAAGGTGGCAGGGGATAGTTTCGTACTAAAGATCTTGTCAAATTTCTTAAAAAACTGAAATATCCCCTGTTTGATGTGATATTTTATGTAGAAAAAATGATTAGAATAATTATGGGATACATTTGCAGTGTAGCAGAGTGCTTGCTGAAAAAATGATGTGCAACATGTACAGTACAGCTCACGAGTATCTTCTGGAAAACACCGGCCACGGTGGACCCTTGGTCCACGCTTTTGCGTGGACTTTGAAAAATGTCGGTGTCTTTGATGTTTCGTTTTCAGCGCTAAGCTGGCACACGGTGCGACACGGTGTGTACACGGTGAAACACGGTGCGTTTGCTCCGTGGAACTCTGTGCTGGTTAATCAACATTAAGTGGTTTGAAATTACTTTAGAAAAATTCATTGAAGATTTTAGAATAAAAATCATTGAAATGCATATCATCTGCAGCGTGCATTTTCCTACTTTCGATATTGTACTGACGTGTCAATGAATTTAACAAAGACGAAATTTTACCATGCAGTCAGCAATCTTGTGTTATTTGGAAGATATCTTCTTAAAGATTATTTTGTTTGTAAAACAAAAGCTAAATCTAAATTTAAAAAAAAAATAAGAAAGGAATATTCTGCATTTGTACTATGCTCAGGAAATCCATGTGGAATTGTCAATTGATTATCTTATCCGGTGTACTGTTTTTTTAAATTATAAATTACTGTAGAAACTGGTGTATATGTAAAAAATACGACACAGAAAATATATTAATTTAATTTGAATCGGATGAAAAAAAATAGCTATGAAAAGATTGACTTAAATTTCCGTCCCATAATGGAACCCATATTGAGATGAGACCCGATGTAGTCTCTGTGTAATGAGTAAATCTCTGCCCAGCCTATCAGAAAACATGAAAAAAATGTTGATATTCAGGTATTGAAGATGCCCCATTTTTTCATCTGTGTCTGTTTGTAATTGTTCAGAATTATGTGTAAAATATAAACCTTAATATTTAATTTGCATTTTGTGTACAGATCGAAGCATTATATATGGGCACAACATTTTTCACAAAACTTGTCGCCAAGAATAATCACAATATGTAAACGATAAGATGTAAAACGTTATAATTATGCTCAACAATTGTCAATGACGTCGATAATGGAAAAAATTTCCAATGATACTATTCAATGAAAATGATATTTCTGCAATATGTTCTATGTTAAACGATGTAAAAAGCCAAACAGTTTTCTTCCGTAACATGTATGAAAAAAAAGTCTGCTATAATTGTTAATAGGTTCACTGCCTAACTAAGCATATGCATAGGAGATATGAAAAACTAGATTGAAGATTTTATATTTTACTTGTACCTAGCGGAGATTTTTCAAACCATTAAATAAAAGCAAGCATACTGTATATGTGCTCTCCCTAAATGTAATAACAGCCCCCCTTTCCATAATGAGTTTTATGGATAATTTCTACACGGACATGTTAAAAAAAGAACAATATTTACATATGCCTATTTATTGTATTACCTGTCCTTTTTAAGGATTTATTCTAATCCTTTTCAAAAATAGCATTTTAATGATAAATAAAATCAACGAAAGAGAAACAATTGTGGCAACATGGAGAGTTATGATTTCTTTTTTCTTCATTTCACCAGTAAGTTATGTTACAGTATATAACGACTTTATATAATCTAGATACAGTTGAATAATATTCGAATAATATTCATTTGTAACTGTAACTTGTTTTTTAAAAATATGTTGCTGTACCAAAAATCGAATAATATTCGTTTGTAACTGTAACTTGTTTTTTAAAAATATGTTGCTGTACTAAAAATTCTATAAACAAATAAATAAATAGTTGTTTATTTTTCAAGTTCCAATTAACTTCCCGACACGTGTAAGTTTCGAAGCCAGTTGAGGTGTATAGTATACACTCGTCTACAGTTTCAACATGTGAATAAAGTCCCAAGGGCCACAGCAACTGAATGTCCCAATATATTTTTCTCCTGAACAGGTGTGAAATATATTAGCCAAGGAGCGACTCCATACATACACGAGAAGTTTCTGCAATTCATCGATATCCGGTATTTGATTGACAGGTAGAGCACGTGGATTCTGTGTGTGATGCGTTGAACTTGTACCTAAATTGCAACGATTCTATTTCGTTTCGATTAATAAAAACTGGAGGTGAACTATGATTTCTTAAAAAAATTAAGAGAGATACATAATATACATGTATATGAGAAGAAACCAAAAAAAAAAAAAAAAAAAAGCCAGAAGGATGACTGATGTAGATGCTAAACTAGTTATCTGATATCATAGGTATTATTTGTAAATGCCTTTACTGTCAATACCTTTAATACCATATTATTTCACAGAGAAAATAACAACTAAAATTATCAATCCGTATCTATGTTTGGCATTGAACAATTATTAAGTTCAAAGACAATGTACTTGTACTTGGATTCGACATGTAGTTGTTTTTGTTTTCAAATGAATATGAAATATGAATTCAACAGAAATCAAAATAAATTTATTCAATTGATAAATACATGTATACCGTCAATGGTGAACCAAAGTCTACACTGAATGCCGCTGTTATGTTACGACCTTACATGTATGATAGTGAGCTGTTTGAATTAAATAATTTTTCATTTTCTATTTCTTTCTAGCAATTAAACCAACATACCTATGATTTCAATTCTAAAATTATTTTTATAAACAAACCACTTTCTTCTGTAATTTTCTTGCGCAGTGGAACAGGGAGGGTCACCCGATGAAACGGTAATGTCCACGGTGTGACATGGTGCGACTTTGGTTTAATCGCAATATACGCACATGGTGGAACTCCGTGTACAGGGTATAACACGGGGTATTTTCCACCGTGTGTTTTCCACGGTGGGGTGGAAAAAACTCGTGAGCTGTACTGTAGGTGTCACTATGATGCTTAGCATATACAGAGTTGTAAATGCGAAACTAAGACACGTAGTCAGTTGCAGAGGAAATTCAGCTGGAAAGCAGAAGGGCTTAGAAAAAGGTTTGTATCTCAGAGGGAGGGAGAATGGCCCCAGATCAGTTAGTAAATTTTCATTAGGGCATGCATTGATTTACAGCATACTGGGTGTTTTTTCCTCCTCGCTCGGGACTGGGGGTGGGCTGTATGGGTGCGACTGAGGCCCAAATCTTGGAAAAACAAACCAAAATTTGGGGAGTCCCCAAGTGCATTTTCGGTACATGTGCACTCTAATATGTAGTTTGCGTGTTATATGTTGACAATTTGTGAGCTGTGGGCATATGAAGTGTAAACTGTCCCCATGTATATATTTTATTGACCGCATGTATATGTGTACCCTCTCGGCACATGTTTGGCATTAATTAAAAAATCTAGCGCCTGCCACCAAACTACTAATAAAACATTAACAAACTAGCAACAAACTATTCTTTTATGATTTGTTGAGGTAATTTAATAGTATAGCATTAAATGAAGTACTAACCAAGCACTGTTTCCAAAAATAACTACAGTGATTTGATAGTCTTTTGTTTCTGTTGATAGTGATTTCTTTATAGTTTGCTTGACCTGGCATCTTACAACAGTGTTTTCTTAGTCTAGCATTTGCATCTAATCACATGGGAAATTATTTTACAGACATGTTAAGGGATGAATTATAAAGAATTGTTAAAGTTTCCAAGAACAGCTTATCTGTTGCCCTCTCCCAACTGACTGTCAAGAAATGGATCGACTTTTTTATGCAAACCGGAAAATAGATTTTGGAAATTCAGCATTGATTTTGTAATTTTCTTTGAAAAAAATTTCTCACCTACCTACCGACTCAGTTTTTCCATCTTGAGTCGGGAGAGGGCAAGCAAACATTATTTTAAAGTTAGCCTCACTTAACCTTAAAATTTCATTGATTTGGAAAAAAAATACACAAAAAAATTTTTGTTGACTTTTTAGCTGGGCTTTGCTGAGAGCAAAAACCTGGTTGTAGGCATGCCAATCGACTGCCCTACTATAAATAGCACAACAGAAAAATAAGCAGAAAGCCAAATAGCATCAAAGCATATATGCTTCCGATACACAAAATACTTACACTAAGAAAAAATTCTCTAAGAAATATGCCATAAGTTTTGGGGTACATGTCGATGGGGTGTATTGGTCGAAAGGCTCATTTTCAGCCGTAATTTTTAAAAAATCCTTAGATAGGACGAATTCGGAAGATAGGACGAAGCTTTGTTTATCGATTTCTAGAGATTCTTACGTAGATACTACGTATCAGAACATTTAAACCTCTTTAACTTAACCCGTGATATTAACAAATTGAGAAAATAAACTAGTATTTTTATGAGTACAGTATTTTAATAATGTTTTTTAAGTTAAAACTTCCTTGAATTGTGATATAACGTATTTTCTCCAACTTGCCTGTTCAATGCCGTCGTAGTTTGACTCTGTCTTTAAACACATAAATACGGTAGTATAAAACAGCTATAATTAGGGAAATACTCGAAATCAAACAATAATCATTTCCAATTTAGAACATCGTGGACACATTCTTTTATTCCGACATTATTTACCGGGGTAAAAAATTAACTTCGATGACCGCCATTTTTATATTTTCTTGTCCAGGGATTTGCTAAAACAGGCAAATGATTATTACATGTACCGTAAGTTTTGGGGTATATGTCGATGGGATATATAG